GGGGGAATGAAAGGGTCGGGGTGGCCGGCAAAAGGTTCGGTCACCGTGAGAGCTTCGGTGAAAGATTATATGTTACGCCGAACCTCAAAGTCTGGAGCCTTCGTTCCGAGCGCTAGCTCCGTTGATTCCGTCAAGACAGCTCGCACGCCCACGACCGATGGCCAAGGAGACGCGCATCGGGATCGGGATCCCTTTCTAGACCCTAGCCCACCATAAGAGCCATTGCCCACCTGGCCCGCCACCTGGCCAACCCAGGTGTGCGCCCCAACGACGAACGCGCTGCTGGAGCTACCACCCAGCGACGCGCACCTGCCGTTGCTACGAGTCACAGCGCCCGCGAACGCGCGCGCATCACCAGCGCGCGACCGTGCTCCTCGGACGAGAGGAGAGACGGCTTTGCCATCTCCTCCGCCGCTCCCAGCGGGGGTCCCATCGGCCAATCGCAAAGAAGCCCGGAGGACAGGCAAGGACAATCCCGCCTGTTCGACGCAACGCGCTGCTGCCAGCGCCATATCCGACCTTCTAGCGCGCCTGCACGGTGACGCTGATGCTCCACTACTCGACGAAGACGACGCCCGCCGGCGTGAAAAGTCGAGAGGAGCTTCGAACTCGCGAGAAGAGCAGAGAGGAGGAATTTCTACCGCCAGCAAGGAACGGCCACAACGGATTAATCGTGCTGGGAAACGTGTCATTGTAGATGTCATTTTAGACGACGATATCCATTTCCACCGTATGCATGCATGAATGATTTATGAATGACATATTTTTGGTTGTACCCCAGAAAAGGATGGGAACTGCGGCCGTGTCCCGAACACAGCCCACTTTGTCGTTGTGCCCTGGAAACAGGCCGTCAAATTGTTCGTGAGGCCTTGGGTCCCTGGGACAATTTGAGACCAAATTGTCACTTTCATCCCTCCGTTCCCCACTGAAGTCTTCCTATCTTGATTGTCCCATCCCTTTACTGACTAAGGGCATACTCACACAGGGACCTATATTCCCAAAATCCCAAAAAAAGGGGAAAAGGCGGGTCACACGGATCTACCAAATTCACAAATGTACTATTCCTGTCGCAGGGCAAGTGATTACGCAGTCACCCTCTGGAGGTGACGGCAAATGCCCTATTTCGTTTCTCACTTTTTTTTAAAAAAATTGGCAAAAATTCGTTCACAAAAGTTCTTTCACAATGTGGATGGCACGGTGTGACCAGCCAAGTACCAAATCCCCATTTCTCTGAACGGCCGGGATCTTGTCCCATCTGAAAAGGTACAACGGTGTGACGTTGTCGGGCAAAAACCCTGACAAGGGTATTTGTCGGGGTTTTTAAACATCGGACGATGTCCGACTTTTTCTTGTTGAATTGAAGGACTTGATGGGACTGACCTTGCCAAAGTTTATTCAGACCTGACCTATGACTGAGAGACTAAAAGTTTTCGAATTCTAGTCTGGATGCGTGTAGCGTCCAAGAGTAACAACTGTTAATGGCGATACTTTGTTTTGTCGAAGCCGCAGGTGCGTGCGGACATAGGCCCTAAGGTAAACCCTATCTAAAATAATGTAGCACGGTTGCTAAGCTGCGCGATTCAGGGCCTAGATAAGTAGGAAAAGGGTGTCCACGCTTGATATTGGGCCACGAGGTTTACTTCGTACGGAGGACCTGATACTATCTCGCAGCCGTTCGCAGGCCACCTAGCCAAGCCGCAACGGTGTGCCGCCTGCCGAGTTGACAGGCGGTGCTGCTAGAGGTAAGGAAGGTCGTGCTGCCTCGCTGTAGCAGATGGGCTACAAGGAGGGAACTCTTCTTATAGAAGAGTTGCGGGCTTAGCTCTCATAATAAAAAGTTAGCCTAGTAGGTACCACCATCTGACTGTCATCCTGTTGCTTCAGGGATCAAGCCTGACGACATGCGGCTGGTCTAGCTCTTTTTGCTAAGAACAGCCCGGTTTTCTAATGTGGCACGGTCAATCTCGACCGCACGATCCCGAAGATCGCACGGCCAAGATCGGGCTGCGCGGAATGGGTATGAGCCCTGCGCAAGGATGACACACACACGCCGAGAAATAATAATAATAATAATAATAATAATAATAATAATAAATAAAACTATGAAAAGCGTCACGTGGCACTACATGAAATGATGATGGTGCCCGTTTTAAACGGTCAACCGTTTTACTACAAGTTTTTTTTTTTTTCCTTTTTTTTTTTTTTGTATATATTTTTTTTCTCTCTATATATATACACGGTTACCGGCGTTCGAGACGGGCCGAACGCCTGAACCCGAACGCCCGAATGTACGGGACGCCTTCGGAAGGAGTTCGACCGTTCGGGACGGTTACTACAAGTTTTTTTTTTTTTTTTTTCTTCTTCACTACATCCATTGTTTTTACCAAATTTGAATTAAAAGCAAATACAGAAAATAAACACCATGATAAAAATAAGAAAAACTAAAAAGAGAATTAAAATGAGTGACTTTGCCAGCACCTTTTCGACACCGCCATCTTTGTCGATTTTTAATTATTTTTTGGCATTGAAAAATGCCCTGAAAATTCACAGATATGTAGTTTACATAATCAATAACTCATATATTTTTTTTTTAAATAATAAAATATTTTAGGCCTCGAAATAAAGTGAAAACAAAAAGTTAAAAGTAAAAAAAAATACAAAATAGTGAGTGGGCGAGCACGTTTTGACACCCCCATCTTTGACGATTTTTAATGTTTTTTTGGCTTACCAGAATGACTTCAAAATTTATAGGTGTGTAGGCTACATCATAGAGAAATCACAAAAAACAATTCAAAAACAAAAACTTATTTTTAGGCCCCGAAATTGTTTTTGGAGGAGGCCGAACCTGGAGGTGTTCGGTTCCCGAACGGGACCCCGAACGCCCGAATGTTCGGGGGCCAGCCCGGGGGCCCCCGAATGTTCGATCAGGTAACCCTGTATATATACTGTCTCTTATACACATCTAGATGTGTATAAGAGACAGGCACTAGGCAGTAACGACGCGAGGCAACAAAAAAAAAAAAAAAACAAAAAAAAACTAAAGAACTAAAACGTAATGCGCCATGTGGCGCCCGTTGAAGTGGCTGGGGGGTTTTAGCCCCAGTACACCAAATAGTCGTCTGTTAAAACGAGCAACTGTTTTGTTTTAAGAAGTGTTTTTTTTAATTAGATTTTTAGATTCTTTTTATCTTACTTGTAGACGCTCATTCGTTTCGAATGAATGAGCAGAAGGGCAATGCCGAACGAATTTGTCGTGGAATGCGGCTACATTCAGACGGATCTTGGAGCCTTGCCCTTGAGTTACCAAGGACTCTCTGGACATGCCGCAAGTGAGTTCATTTCTTTTTTTTGTAGGGTTTTTGTTTTGTTCTGATTTTTTTATTTATTTATTTTTCCTTAGTTTCCCTCCTTTCCCTGAACGTCGTGGTGGCAAAGAGTTGTATCCGTTCGTGATTAGAAACGGGCAGCAGCTCTTTGCGATTGCCCGAACCTGACACTGTTGGTGTCTATGTGCGGGCACGTTTAAAGGAGGCAGGGTTAGAGAGAAAAAAAGGGAAAAGAAGGAAGAAAAGTAAGTGACGGCCGTGACGTACGTGGCCGCAGGTTCATGATAGATGCAGGGGAGGAAAAGAAGAGGTAAGGGAGGAAAGAAGGAACGACCGCGAATATGGTCGCAGTTATGGAACAAATGCATCCCCTAAAACGTTCTAGGGGTTGATGGGACTGTGTCTGTTCAGTTAAGCTTGCAGTCCTGAAATGGCTTGAAACAATTTTTTTTGGGCTGCGCTTGACGGCGGGTGAAGGCCAGATGTATTACCAAGGCCTGAAACTTGGTTTCCCTAAGGGAACATCGAGGTTTTCAACCCCTTCGGATCTCGTCTGAGATCAAGGGGCAGATCCTAATCCGAGTTTTGGTTGAGAGCGAGGTTGCTGCCCTCAGCCCTTGGCTAACTATAAAAGAAGTCAGCAGTCAGTCAGCCAACATTCATTCGTGGTTGATTATGCTGGCATTCCACTTGAGTGAGTGCTGGCTGCTGGAGGAGAGGCTGCTGGTTGGAGTAGAGAGTGAAGAGAGGTGGAGAGTGGAGGTCTGCAGGTGAACTTGAGGGAGAGTGAAGGTGGCAACCATAGCTAGAGGTTGGGAGTTTCTTGCCCCACCTTTGAGTTTATGTTGCATGCTTAAAGGGACGTCATAACTGTGAGGTTGCGCAGGATTGGACCGTGTAGCAAGTGGTAGCGTCTTGAAGGGAGGTGTTGTCTGACGATCGGCACGGTAGCAAAATATATTTTACGTGGGAGGTTGCGCCGCTGCTTTTTCTTGGAAGGAGGTGCTGCTAGAATTGTGTGGCGCAACGGTGAATTTTTTTGTGACATTCTATTTGACAGCATTTTGAAGGGAGGTGTTGTTGGCATTGCACGGCGCGACTTGTGGAGGTTTTTCCGACAGGTTCTAAATTTATGGTGGTGATTGTTTGGCATGATACTCGGTGGTGTGACTGTTTTTTATGTAGCACTGCGGCATTGACGCCGGAGGTGCTATTAATGTTGGGTGAGCGTCGCGATTGAGATTTGCATTTTTGGATAATCATTTGGTGGTGTGGCGGCAACGTGGGACCCAAATTGGAACCAAGTGAGTGGGGATTGAGACTGAAAAACGTATTGTGGCAGACATTTGGTGATCAAACTTGGTAACTGGTGGAGTTTGGATTGGTGATTGAGGTGGCGCTATTCTTGGTGGGCAAGATGCCGCTGGGACTGTAGCGGGGTCACGTAGGACTTGAAAGTGATAGCACCCTCCTCGAGGGTTATCTCGCGCTAGTCCTAGTGAGTGGCACCTGTGCCAGTGGTGACACTTGAAGGGGGACGCGAATTATCTTTTGTGAACAGGTCACGACGTGAGTCGTGCGACCGATCTCTTAAAAAAAATACTTGGCTTTCTTGAGTAAGCCGTTTCAACTTTGCTCAATGTCAGTTATGACTCAGCTTCCCTTACACACCTGTATGAACCCACACCTTGATTTACCTTGCTTTGAATTCAAGGAAAATGTGGAGTGAGATGTGTGATGTCATGAATGTGAAAAAAAAAAAAAAAAAGGTTGACTTTGGCAGGGGGATGAATGGTTTTGGATTAGTTCTTTTGTTGATTGCGCATGTGGGTAGATGGATGCATGTGAGAAGGGATCGGTATTATGCTTGTTCAAGGAAATATGAGAATGTTCACCTTCCTTCCACTTTTACCTATATGCATTTAAAAAAAAAAATATATAGTGAAAATGGTGGACTGACGAGTGTCGAAAAAATAAAATCCGTGGAAAAAGGACATGACGATAAGAAAATAATTCAGTATTTTCCCAAGAAATATCCCGTTCTATCTTGAACAACACTTTCTTTTTGTACCTATCCAAAGAGAGTTCAATGCTTATCTCTATCTTATTCTTCTTTCGTCAATCAAAACCCTGTCGGAGTATAAGGAAATGTCTACACCTAGTAATTGGGGCTTCTTCTCTCTAGGAGGCATTTGGGGCAGGGGTTCGTTGCTTTAGGAGTCGGCCCTGTTATTGACCCGGAGTGGACCGACCAACGGGGGAATACCATGTTGTATCACGGTGGAACCAACCCAACTTTTGGGATTTGAACAATGTGTTCGGACGAGGAGGAGGGGTATTCCAGACCACTTTCTAGAGGGTAGGATGTCTTGTGATAAGGGTAGCCGTTTTTCATACTTCCAAGTGGTGGACGACTGAATTCAACACCTTCTTGGGGTGGTCGTCTTA